CCCTAAACGCTTTCTGCTCACCTGTGTCCCTGCACCTGCTGGGAAGTCCAAGATGCCCATCAGTGCAGGAGGTGGGAAGTGGGATGGAGAAAAAGAGGATGAAACAGGGAGAAGCTGAGCACCCGCAGGTGTCAGGAGCCTGCTGGGCATATTACACACACGACTGCACCACATTCTAGCACCAGCGAAAGAAATGAGTATTTTTGCCCTCATTGTAAAGATCAGGAAACTGAGGCTCAGAGAAGCTAGATTACTTCTCCGTGATCATACAGGTACTGAGTGACGAAACCAGGATGCAAACGCAGATCAGTCTGACTCTAAGACCTGCCTCTGTCCACAAGGAAAAGGTGATTTGCTGCAGGCACACCTCCTGCTTGACCGAAGCACTGCAGATTCAAAGATTAGACGCAGTCTCTTTGGTGACACTCAAAGGAGATAGCGTGGGAAGTAACCCTGGTAGGCTGTATTTTCCCAGAATGGCCCCAGGCCCGCTGACCTGAGGTGGGACTCTGCGCTTGCCTGCCTTGGTGAGTAGAAATGATGCTGTCAGACTTCAGAGGCTGAGGAGGGACAGTCCTGCCACCATGCTGTGAGAGTCACCCAGGGAGAGGAGCAGAGCTTCCGGCAGCCAGCACCACTCGCCAGAAACATGAGTGCGTGAGCCCTCATCATTCCATCTGACGCCCAACACAGACATCAGGGGCAGACAGGCTGTGCTCACTGCACCCTCTCAGTCCCTGGCACACAAAATCTCTGAGCATCATGAGTGGCTCCATCCTGAGTGATGTCATCATAGTGACACCGCTAAGTCCTGGGGCAAGTGGTTACACAGCTATAGTAGCTGGAATGAGAACTTTATAAACTGTGAACTGCCGTCCCCGTGTAAAATGCTATTAGGAAACCTGACTTTGGCACAACAGGATTGTGTCGGTATCTGAGGAAGTCAACTTGTGTCTCAGGCTGAGTTCCTCCCAAAAGCAGAAACTGCAGCAGAGGTTTGTGTGCAGGAACACACGTTTATGAAAGACCCGCGGGCTCAGGCATAGGGGACTGGGAAGAACGAAACTGGGAAGGAGACTCAGCCAGTCCAAGACTGTGCTGTTGAGCTGACACTGCTGTGGGCAGCTGAGGCTCAGTATTACGAGAGGCCTTCTGAGGAACCTGCAGAATGAGCCTCAGGGCTGTGGGGAGAAAGTGTCTGCCCATCCCCTATTAGCTGCAGGTTGCCCCCAGAGAATGTTAATTCCTGGCACCTGCCGCTCTGCAGCTATCCCAGAACAGCTTGAGCAGCCCTGCCTGGCAGAGGGGCCCAGGGAAGAAAGCTAAATCAGGCACTGAGAGATTACGGTTGGGCTGACAGGCTGTGAAATGGAGCATAAAAGATGACCGACAGGACGTGGTATTAAATAATCCTCCAGGCGGCCGGGCTCAGTGGCTCAAGCCTGTAATCCCAGCACTTTGGGATGCCAAGGCGGGTGGATCACGAGGTCAAGAGATCGAGACCATCTTGGTCAACATAGTGAAACCCCGTCTCTACTAAAAATACAAAAGATTAGCTGGGCATGGTGGCGCGTGCCTGTAATCCCAGCTACTCAGGAGGCTGAGGCAGGAGAATTGCCTGAACCCAGGAGGCGGAGGTTGCGGTGAGCTGAGATCGCGCCATTGCACTCCAGCCTGGGTAACAAGAGCGAAACTCTGTTTCAAAAAACTTAATAAATAGATAAATAAATAATAATAATCCTCCAGGCAATGATTGCATTGTCCTGGATAGAGGCCCACAGGGCCAACTTCTGCCTGGTTGGTCACTTTGCTCACTAGCCTGCTCGGGTCTCTCCAGGTCAACCTGTGCAGTTCCAGGCCTGCCTGAGCAAGGCCCTAGTGTGCTGGAAGCCACCATCCAGCCGAGGGACCAGCTGCATTCTCTGGGCCCTGCAGGTCATCTCTGGTCATCACAGTGATCCAGGGGAGAAACTGGAACCAGGGCACTCACTGCCGCTCAGGGGCCAGGATCCAGCAGTGGATTTCCAGCTTCAGCCCCTCAAAGCAGCATCTCTGGAGGCTGGTGGTGCCCAGAGAACCATGCTTTTTGGAGACTGGGGCTTGAAAAGAAGCCTTCTGAAGGAAGCCAATGTAAAGGGTGAGTTTGTCTTGTTCAGACCCTTGGGTGTTTGTGGTGAAGAAACCCGCTGGAGCAGGTGCCTGAAGGTATGGGCTGAGCGTCTAGAGATCTTGGGTCCAGGATAGGGTTGAGGCCCGGGCCAGACCTTAGGCCAGATGACCTCTGCACAGCCTATATCTCTAGGGACCTGGTCTGCTGGTCAGACCCCTCTGCCCTGCTGTTCTTTGAGACAGTCAACTCCGTCACTCACCCTCTGGGGCATTTAATTCTTAACAATTTTTTTTTTTTTTTTTTTGAGACAGAGCCTCGTTATGTTGTGCAATGGCATGATCTCGGCTCACTGCAACCTCTGTCTCCCAGGTTCAAGCGATTCTCCTGCCTCAGCCTCCCGACTAGCTGGAATTACAGGCACATGCCACCGTGCCTGGATAATATTTGTATTTTTTAGTAGAGATGGGGTTTCAGCATGTTGGCCAGGCTGGTCTTGAACTCCTGACCTCAGGTGATCCACCCCCACCTCGGCCTCCAAAAGTGCTGGGATTACAGGCGTGAGCCACCGCGACTGGCCCTTAGTCTTATCTCAATGGTTTGAAATACAGAAGCAGTACCACACAGGAGAACCTCATTTCTTTTTCTTTCCTGTTACATGGCATGAGGGCTTCCCCATCTGCAAGCGGGGAAGGCTCTGTGTCCCAGGCACCAGGAGCTCAGAGAGGGAAGGGTACTGATCAGCATTCTGGGGTGCAAGGAAACACATTTCCTGTGAGAGAGCAAGGAGGGGCTACACCTCAGCAGAAGGAATTTAAATGTGGAGAATTTCACAAATTACACCCATATCAACAAGCGAGCGCCAATGCAGACCAGGCATTGAGCTTCCTGTTGGAGATGTTGAATTGGAACTTGCAGGGACTAGCTAAGAACCCAACCCCCTGCGCTCTCCCGACATCCTCCCTCCTTCTTCATCCCAGGGTGGCACATGGCCTTCAGCTGGGAGGAGGCCTTGACTCTGCACTGGTGCCGGTCATTCTCAGATTTGCTCAGGACAGAGGGGTTTTGTCTTCCAGGATGCAGGACTTTCAGTGCTAAAATCAGGAAAGTCCCAGGCAAATCAGAAAGTTTGATCACTGTAGGAGAGTGTGCTGGGCCCTCAAGATGCTCCTGTTTGAAGGAGACAGACTCACAAACAGGTAATCACAGCAAAGCAGGTGATTCTAGGCTAAGGGGCTCACACAGGAGGGAAGGCTTCCTGGTACAGGTACACCTAGGCTGAGTCTTAAAAGCAGGATATGAACCTGCAGAGAAAAGAAACCATTATAAAAAGACATAGGAGCAGGGGGCACACGAGGCAAACACTTCGGGCCTCCCAGGATCTAGTGAGACTTTCTTCAGGCCCTGCAGACCTCGGGGATGCAGATTCTCAGGCCGGCCTGTGCCCCCTCCCCTGGGGTTGCACCCATCCTTTCTGGAACCCACACAGGCTGCCAATTTCTTGCACACTGTCCAGGCCGGCTGGCAGCCTTTGCTGTGCACTCAGGGAACTGGGCAGGGTTATCCTGGGAGGGGTGGTGAGCCTGAGACCATGAGGAAAATCTGCTTTCTTGGGGGAGGAGGTGGGTGTGGGGCAAACAATGGTGTTGGAAAGTTCCCAGAGCCTGTCTTTGGAGACCCTGACCCACTGCAGAAATCTGTGCCTAAGGAGTGGAATTCTAGCCACCCTCCCACCCCCACATTCCATGGTGATGTAGGGAGCGGTGGGCACATAAGTCCAATAAGTCAGCTCTCAGCTGTTCCCAAGGACTTGTACACCATTGTATTTATTTGTACATCCTGGTTTGGAGCAAAACGTCCTGGTACAGACAACCTTGGCTGCATGAGCAACTTGTAGAATTCTAGGCCAAAAAGTCCTATCTGATAAGTTCCAGCCACGTTACTCTTGGATGCCCATCAAGCTCTCATCTTCTTGAGCACGACCCAGAGGTTCACCTTTAGAACCTCAGCTCTGGAACACATTATAGGTCAAAGCTGGTCCTCAAAAAGGATCAGAGTTCTCCTCAGGATGACTGATAAGGCATAAGGTGGTGTCTCACTGTGTGCCTGAGCCTGTCTGTATCACAACTTCCTGAGCAGCTCACTGTAAGCCCTGTTCCAAACCATGTTCTAGAAATACTGAATTGTAAGCACTAGGAGTGGAATCAACATTTTAAACAATCACCTTAACATATTCTGCTTAATCTGAAATTTCTCTCTTGGGGGCAGTTGCTATCTATTTTAATAAAATACAAGCTTTATGTCAAGGAAATTAATCTCCACTGGACTGTAAAATGTCCAGGATCTGTCTAACACACGTTTCTCAGCCTCAGCATGAGTGAGATTTCAGACCAGATGGTTTTGTCCTGTGCATTACAGAATGTTGACCAGCATCCCTGGCCTCTAGACGCCAGTAGCACCCTGCAATCATGACAACCAGAAATTTTTAAAAATGTTGCCAGACACTGCCCAGTGTCCCCAGAGGGAAAAATCTGCCCCCTCTAACAAAAGGGACTTCCTCCTAAAATCTGACCTCAGTCCAGCATAAGGAGGGTGCCCCCCCACTCTTCGAATGACCTCCACCAGGTTCTGCCCACGCTGAACCTGCCCTCCTCACCAATCTCCAGCTGCACATGCGCTGAAGCCAATTCCCACCCTCCCTCCAGCCCTCACTCCCGCCGGGTCTCCTGGCTCCCTTCCCATCGCCCGCCCCCGCACCTCATCACTCTCCATTCCTGCCCCATTGCCCCAATGCCTCCTGCCACCCAGCCCCGGCAGGACTATAGGAGAACACAGCCCACCCACTTCTGGGGAGTGCTGATGGGGCTCCAAGGAGATGGCCTCCGGCGAAGAATTCTCCTTTTGTAAAAATGGGACGTTTATTTTTGTTTTGATTACAAAGTGAACATGGTCATGGTTGAAATTTGACAAGTACAGAAAAGCATAAAGTAAAGGGTGCACAAATTCCACTGCCGAGCTAGCCGACGCTGACATCTAGGAGGCATCCTACTTTGGCTCTTACTGACCCCTGGTGTGAGGGTAGGGGTCCCCGGGTAGACAGAACCCCTGACCAAGGACAACGGGAGGCATTTGCTCTTCTAGGGTATCTGTTTTATTCATATATGGGTGGCTCAGGGGCTCCAGGCGGCCTGTTTTTCAGGAGACTCAGCACCTAGTGTCTTCTTGCCTCCCTCCCAAGAATCTGCTCCTGCAGGTGGAACATCAGAACTCGTCCTTGATGTCAAAATGGGGCTGGTCTTCAGGCTTGAAGTCCAGGTTGGGGCTGCCGTCCTCGTTGAGAATTCTCCGGGCCGTGTAGCCGACGATGGGGTATTTGGCTTTGTACACTTTGGTGAAGATGTCATCCAGGGCCTCCAGTTCTTTGGCTGTGAGACCGGTCTTGGGGAGAAAAGCCCAAGAAAGACAGGGATGGGGTAAGTGGATGGTGTCTGGCACTGGTCTTGCTCCATCCCTGTCTTGCCCTCCCACATTCCTAACGCAAGAGAAAAGATATCTCAACAAACCAAATAATGGACAAATGACCTAAGAGACACTGCTGTGTGTGTGCTGCTGCAGGGGACATATAACATAAGGGGAGAAATGCTTCATCACACTGTGGTTTGACTGATCAGGGATGGACTCCAGAGAGCACTGTGACCATGCTGGGGCGGGGCGGGGTGTGCCCTCCTGCCTCTGCATTCCCCTCCTCTCCCCTGATTAATCCTCCCTCTCTCTACACTCCTCCCATTATACATTTGGCACCTTCCCTTTCTTAATTCTTCATTTGTTTTTGTAATGTTGTGGCTTATGAGTTTGGCTCATCTCAATGTCAGTTTGATGTTGAATACAGTTGGGGGAAATTCCAACCTTACTGTTGGGATTATTGAGACCTTGAATAGGTTTTAAAAAAAAAATTTTTTTTTTTTTTTTTTTTTAGACAGTCTCGCTCTGTCGACCAGGCTTGAGTGTAGTGGCGCTATCTCGACATACTGCAGCCTCCACCTCCCGGATTCGAGCAATTCTCCTGCCTCAGCCTCCCAAGTGGCTGGAATTTCAGGCACATGCCTCCACACTCAGCTAGATTTTGTATTTTTAGTAGAGGCATGGTTTCTCCATGCTGGCCTGGCTGGTCTTGAACTCCTGATCTCAGGTGATCTGCCCACCTCAGTCTCCCAAAGTGCTGGGATTATAGGCATGAGCCACCACATCCGGCCTAAAAATTTTTTTAATGCTATTTTCTCCTTCACAGAAATATGAGCATAGAGGGAGCCCTTTCTTCCCAACCCAGTTCATCCACAAAGCTACCAAGCATGGCAAGGGGAATGGGTCTCAGAGACTAACAGCAAGGCTGTAAGGAGCTGAGGGGACGGGGTGGCAGGAGCAGACCATAAGGAGCATTAGGCTGTAAAGCAGGTTGAGGCCAAATTGTGATGATCATTGAGTTGGATCACAAGTTCATACGAGTTTCGACTTGACTCGAGGCCACAGACAGCCATGGAAGGTTTCTGGGTAGGGGTGACACAGTCGGATAATCTACTTCAAGAAAACGGCTAGCCACCACACCAAGCAGACTGAAGGGCAAATAGGCTAGTTAGGAAGGCTTGCTCTTGCCCAGAGGAAAGAAAAGAAAAGAAGAGAGGAGGGGAGGAGAGGGGAGGGGAGGGGAGGGGAGGGGAGGGGAGGGGACGGGAGGGGAGGGGAGGGGAGGGGACGGGAGGGGAGGGGAGGGGAGGGGAGGGGAGGGGACGGGAGGGGAGGGGAGGGGAGGGGACGGGAGGGGAGGGGAGGGGAGGGGACGGGAGGGGAGGGGAGGGGAGGGGAGGAGAGGGGAGGGGAGGGGAGGGGAGGGAAGAGAGAGAAAAGAAAGAAAAAGAAGGAAAGGAAAGAAAGGAAAGAAAAAAAGAGAGAGAAAGATGAAGGAAAGAAAGAAAGAAAGGAAAAGAAAAAGGAAGAGAAAGTGAAAGCAAGCAACGGACAAGGAGGCAGAGCATCTTGCCAAAGGCCTATAATCTGGCTCACAGTGTCATGGGTGAGGTCTGCAGGATCCAAGGACATCTTGGCTACCCCTCTAGTGGAGTCCTTCCCGGTTAAGGCATTGTAGGGGGCTCCCCGTCCATAAAACTCTGTAATAAGGGGGAACGAAGAGACATGAGCATTGGTTTACATGCTGAGGAACCAGGCGCCTCCACGTGGGGGGTTCCCAAGGCCCTCACCCAGTCCTAAAAAAGGCTCCAGGCCCATGGAGAGGCAAAACAATGGTGACATAAAGTCCAGCAAGCCACCCCAGCAATTAGGTTAGACGCCACTCATTCTAAATGTGGAATAAGTCACACATGGAGGGTGAGCGGGATTTTCAGAAAATACAAAATGACAATAGTACCCCCCAACCTCTTTTTTTTTTGAGACGGGTCTCACTCTTGCCCAGGCTGGAGTGCAGTGGCACGATCACTGCTCACTGCAATCTCCACCTCCCAGGTTCAGGCGCTTCTCCCGCCTCAGCCTCCGGAGTAGCTGGGACTACACGCAAGCACTACCATGCTTGGCTATTTTTTGTGTAGAGATGGGGTTTCACCCTGTTGCCCAGGCTGGTCTTGAACTCCTGAGCTCACACAATCCACCCACCTTGGCCTCCCAATGTGCTGGGATTAAAAGTATGAGCCCCTGTGCCCGGACCCCTCTCTCGCTCTTTTTTTTTTTAACATAAGTGTTAATACTGAGAAAATAGTCTCTTAAAAATATTAAAGATGCAGGCTGTGCGCAGAGGCTCATACCTGTAATCCCAGCACTTTGGGAAACCAAGGCGGGCGGATCATTTGAGGTCAGGAGTTGAGCCCAGCCTAGCCAACATGGTGAAATCCCACCTCTACTAAAAATACAAAAAATTAGCGGGACATCTTGGAGTACCCCTCCATGATGGTGCATGACTGTAATCCCAGTTACTTGGGGGCTGAGGCAGGAGAATCACTTGAACCCGTTGAATCCAGGTGGAGGAGGTCACATTACTACACTCTAGACTGGGCGACAGAACGAGACTCTGTCTCCAAAATAAAAAAACAAGTAAGAAAAATGTTCCGCTTTTTGCGGCCATCACCTAAGCGGGAGCTGCCGAAATGAAGTTCAATCCCTTTGTGACTTCCGACCGAAGCAAGAATCGCAAAAGGCATTTCAATGCACCTTCCCACATTCGCAGGAAGATTATGTCCTCCCCTCTTTCCAAAGAGTTGAGACAGAAGTACAACGTGCGATCCATGCCCATCCGAAAGGATGATGAAGTTCAGGTTGTACGAGGACACTATAAAGGTCAGCAGATTGGCAAAGTAGTCCAGGTTTACAGGAAGAAATACGTAATCTACATTGAACGGGTGCAGCGGGAAAAGGCTAATGGCACAACTGTCCATGTAGGCATTCACCCCAGCAAGGTGGTTATCGCTAGGCTAAAACTGGACAAAGACCGCAAAAGGATCCTTGAACGGAAAGCCAAATCTCGCCAAGTAGGAAAGGAGGGCAAATACAAGGAAGAAACAATTGAGAAGATGCAGGAATAAAGTAATCTTATATACAAGCTTTGATTAAAACTTGAAACGAGGAAAAAAAAAAAAAAAGAAAAATGTTCCATCTTCTTATCCCAGCACTTTGGGAGGCCGAGGCGGGTGGATCATGAGGTCAAGAGATCGAGACCATCCTGGTCAACATGGTGAAACCCCGTCTCTACTAAAAAATACAAAAAGTTAACTGGGCATGGTGGTGCGCGCCTGTAATTCCAGCTACTCAGGAGGCTGAGGCAGGAGAATTGCCTGAACCCAGGAGGCGGAGGTTGCGGTGAGCCGAGATCGCGCCATTGCACTCCAGCCTGGGTAACAAGAGCAAAAACTCCGTCTCAAAAAAAAAAAAAAAGAAAAATGTTCCATCTTCTTAAATGTTGGTGGAAGCCAAGTCTATTTCCATTCAGCATGTTTGTTACCAAATAATAGATGAACCACTACAAAACTACCTCCAAGATACTATTTGTAGTTACATTAAATGGCACTAAAATGTTCTGTAATGTTCTATAATGCCAAGTCTTTACTAAAGAACACTTCTCTCACTGCTTCAATTAGGGTAAATCATCATTTGAATTTGATTCTACCCAGGCAATAGAAAGCCATGGAAGGCTTTTAAATAGAAGTATGTCATAATCAGGGGGAAAAAACGCTGCTGAAGTAAAACACTGACAAAGATTAACTCAATCTGCTCATTTAAAATAGAAGGAAGTCCGGGTGTGGTGGCTCATGCCTATAATTCCAGCACTTTGGGAGGCCGAGGTGGGTAGATCACAAGGTCAGGAGTTCAAGACCAGCTTGGTCAAGATGATGAAACCATATCTCTACTAAAAATACAAAAAAGTTAGCCAGGCGTGATGGCAGGCACCTGTAATCTCAGCTACAGCTACTTGGGAGGCTGAGGCAGGAGAATCACTTGAACCTTGGAGGTGGAGGTTGCAGTGAGCCAAGATCACGCCACTGCACTCCAGCCTGGGTGACAGAGCTAGACTCTGTCTCAAAAGTAAATAAATAAATAAAATAAAATGGAAGGAAAAGGACTTGCCCAACATTCCCTCCCTTTCCTCACACCTCCAAGTGCTGCTCACTCTGGCTTCTGTGCTCCCTAGAAATAAAATTCAAAATGCCACAGCACTTACTTACCCTTTCCGGAGGTGACATCAAACACCACTCCCTTCACTGCCAAGTAGATGGGCTGATCTTCCTAGAAAGCAGGGGAGAAGCTGTGAAGAGGAGGGGAAGAGCTGGTTCTTCCAGTGTAAGTTAGTAAATTCTCCTCCCATCACAAGCTGAGCAAAGAGCAAGGGGTCAAGTCCCAGTGGCCTTCTGTTAAGCCTAGTCCTTGGCAAGCTCACCGCCTGCCTGGGCAGCATCATGCCCACACACAGGAATTTGGAAAAGTCATAAAGTCTCATGACAAGAATGTGGCAATCCCCTCTTTTATAAAGAAAATCAGGGACCAGGTGCAATGACTGATGCCTGTAATCCCAGCACTCTAGGAGGCTGAGGCAGACAGACCATCTGAGGTCAGGAGTTCAAGACCAGCCTGGCCAACATGCGGAAATCCCATCTCTACTAAAAATACAAAAATTATCTGGGTGTAGGGGCACATGCCTGAATCCCACCTTCAGGAGGCTGAAGCTGGAGAATCGCTTGAACCCTAGAGGCGTAGGTTGTAGTGAGCCAAGATCGTGCCACTACACTCCAGCCTGGGCAACAGAGCAAGACTCTGTCTCCAATAAAAAAGAAAGAAAAGAAAGGAACTGAAGCAACTTAATAAAGATGAAAACTCAAAGAACAGTAAATGATGAATTACTTATCAGTCCAAATTTGCTTTCTTCTTTATCAATGTACATACACAGATATAACTGATATGAGTGAGATCTATTTTATATTTTGCTTCTTATACGTAACATTCCTTCACATAAACATTGTCACCGAAATGACTGTCACTTAAACAGCTCCATGGGGCCCACTTTTTTTTTGAGATGAAGTTTCACTCTTGTAGCCAGCTGGAGTGCAATGGCACAATGTTGGCTCACTGCAACTTCTGCCTTCCGGGTTCAAGCACTTCTCCAGACTCAGCCTCCTGAGCAGCTGGGATTATAGGCACCCGCCACCACGCCCAGCTAATATTTTGTAGTTTTAGAAGAGATGGAGTTTCACCATGTTGGCCAGGCTGGTCTCAAACTCCTAACCTCAGGTCATCCACCTCCCTTGGGCTCACAAAATGCTGGGATTACCGGCAGGGGCCACTGCACCCGGCCTAGGTACCCATCGTATATTAGTGATATTATGTACTTATTTGTTTAGGTAGCTTTCTATTTTGGGCATTTGGGTGGTTTCCAATCCTTAGAACTATAAATTATGAATACTATGTTTCTATAAATTACTTTCTAATTTGGTGACTTATTTCATTGAGGCTTTTATTTAAAATTTTCTCTCCACCCAGTCAGTGCATAGGAAAGTGACCTATTTCAATATATGAAATTCCTGGGTCTAAGTATATGAACAACTAAATCACTGTTTATATTTTATTAGTTTGTCCTGTGACAACATGAAGCCATTTGTAGTGCTAGAGATATGTAAGCAATGCTATTTCCCCACCGTTCTACTAACAACGGGCTTTAGACTCTTGTGGCTCTATCAGCGGGCATAAAGTGTTACCTCCGAATTTCCCCACCAAGAGTGAGTAACACAGAGACAGATGGCATGACTTCTCTAACTTCCATCAGGCTGGGCTCAGGCTGGGACCATGGGTACAGTCCCAAGACACGCAAGACCAGATCTCTCTCTTTTGCATTGGTGCCATCAGAGGTGCAGGGGCATCGGCCACAGGCCAGGCGAGCGTGAGAGTCGAAGCTGGCTCCACAGGAATCTCAGGCTCTGCAAGCACCGGCTGCTTGGCCTTCTCTTTAGTAGGGGAGCAGTTTAGGGTTCTTGCTCTTGTGGAGCTTACGATGAAGGGTTTTCATGACCCCATGTAACAGACAAAGGGACTGAGGCTCAGAGAAGCTAAGCAACTTGCCCAAGGAAACACACCTGACTGCCTCATAACCTGTCACATGAGGGTAACGCCTACTTGCCTCAAGGGAATGCTGAGGAAAACAGTGAATGTAGCACCTAGCAGGCAAAACACAGGAGCTCAGTAGAAAGTTGCCTTTTATTATTCCCAAACCGGCCCCTAAAGACAGGCCCTAGAGGACTGCCATTGACTCTGGACACTTGCTCCACCTCGCCCAACAAGGGTCACTGGAAACGGCCTGTCTTTCCGTCACCGGGAGTCCTTGTTCCTCAGTTTTGATTGCTTATCAAGTGGTGTTATATATTTACATCAATTTAAAAAATAAATCATTTTTATGATTTAACAGCTATCATTTAACACCAGTATTTTGTCATACTTCCATTCTGTGGCTTTTTCCTTGATACTTTTATTTTTTTCTTTTTTGAGATATCTTGCTCCAGGGTCGCCCCAATAAGAGTGCAATAGCGCAATTTCAGCTCACTGCAACCTCTGCCTTCCTAGTTTAAGTGATTCTCCTGTCTCAGACTCCTGAATAGTGGGGATTACAGGCACATGCCAACATGCCCGGCTAATTTTTGTATTCTTAGTAGAGACAGGGTTTCGCCATGTTGGCCAGGCTGGTCTCAAACTCCTGACCTCAAGTGATCCACCCACCTCGGCCTCCCAAAGTGCTGGGATTATAGGCGTGGCCGATACTTATTTTCTATGTGCATAATTATAACTTATTTTCTATGTTATAATTATAACATTCACACACATAAGATAAACAAAAACAGGCATCTTATTACCACTCTTTTTTTTTTGAGGCAAAGGCTCACTCCTTTGCCCAGGCTGCACAATCTCAGCTCACTGTAGCCTCCACCTCCCAGGCTCAAGTGATTCTCCTGCCTCAGCCTCCCGAGTAGCTGGAATTACAGGCGTGTACTACCATGCACAGCTAATTTTTTTTTTTTTTTTGTATTTTTAGTAGAGATGGATTTTCACCATGTTAGCCAGGCTGGTGTAGAACTCCTGACCTCAGGCAATCCACCTGCCTCAGCCTCCCAAAGTGCTGAGATTACCGGTTTGAGCCACTGCACCCAGACAACAAGTTCCTTCTTTGGGGGTGGGGGGATGGAATCTCACTCTATCACCAAGATGGAGTGCAGTGGCACGATCTCGGCTCACTGCAACCTCCGGCTTCAGGGTTCAATTCTTCTGCCTCAGCCTCCCAAGTAGCTGGGACTACAGGTGCCCACCACCACGCCTGGCTAACTTTCCTTATGTTAGTAGAGATGGGGTTTCACCATGTTGGCCAGGATGGTCTCAATCTCCTGACCTTGTGAACCGCCCACCTTGGCCTCCCAAAGTGCTGAGATTATAGACCTGAGCCACTTGCCTGGCCCACTCTCCTTTTTCTAACAGTAAAATCTTTATCTCCTCCTTAAACTATTTACTTGAAGGTGTAAGCACTAAGAGAAGTCAAATTAAAGGGGAAGAAAAGGATGTTTAGCATTTTTGAGGCCCCCAAGTGACATAAATACGCTGCATGCCATGCAGAGGAATGGCTTTATCAGTAAACGGAGCATGCTGTGGTTGTGAGTTCTGACCTCATGTAGATGGACATCCATGGACAGCACAGCCCACAGGCACGGACTCTCAGGCCCGGGAAATGGCAACTCAGAAGGTGGAGGGTGGGTGGAAGGCTTGGGAGTATAAATGCAGACGCGGGAATAGAAGTGACACCGAGACAGCAGGCACAGTGGCTCGCGCCTGTAATCCCAGCACTTCGGGAGGCTGAGGTGGGTGAATCACTTGAGGTCAGAAGTTCAAGACCAGCCTGGCCTTGATGAAAGGTGAAACATGATGAAAACATGT